TCGCGCGTTGCGCATTGATTAAGATCTTTCTTTTAGCAGCAGCTCGCGCGCCTGGCATAACGACTCTCATAACGCGCAACAATGCATCTTGTTTTCTCGTTCGGAGCATTGTGCACGCGCGCACACATTTATGCGCATCTTCGAGCCTCGCATTGACATTACATCGTGCGTTGTTTCGTCGATATAGAGACTGTCGTTTGTCGTGATTCATTCGTTCTCTCTTATCCTCTCTGTCTTTGGAGCTAAATGGATAACTCGAAATACCTTCGGCGCAAAGCGTTAAGAATGATATTCTTGGACGATATAGCTTGTCCACATCTTGGATCAACTTGATTGTCAACATTTTTGTACTTGGGTCACGGCCTCCGACGAATATTCCATGGATTAATACTACAGAACCTTTAATTACTGTGTGTAGAAAGAAAATAAAAACAGCGATTCAAAGAGTGTACGTATGAAACAAATTATATGCATATAGGAACTTACTTTAATTGTCTCCTGAGTAATGAAGAAAACGTCATAAATATAACAACGAAGCACCAATAAAAGGACAAGGGATATGTCTGGCGGATTTTCCAGATTTTTTTATCGACTTTTTACCATTTTTTAAAATATTTCAAGTCTGACAAAATTGTACTAGACTAATTTCGCGGCTTTATTAAGGTAAGTAACGATACTTTGAGAATCACACAAGTATTCTTAGAGGCTCCCTTGCCCCTCCTTGGATTTATCAGAGTGTTGATTAAGTGTGTAACCATTCCCGTATACTTTTGATGATGAATTATTTTCTTTTCGTCTTCCACTTTTTTGTTCACGTACATTGAAAAAATTAATGACTTGTTTGTTGATTATTTAAAATTATTTGACATTAAACGATTTCCAAATTTTCACGTTTACAATCGTTATTTTCATTAAATATGATAATAATTAAAAATTTTAAAGTACAAATACACAATTATAAGGATTGGACTAACTTCGAAAAATACAATTTTTCGAATCAACTCTCAACAAAACACTTTATACCCAAAGCCAAAGATCCCCACGATCGTATATCGTCGTGCATTTAACGCGACAACAGCGTTCTTATATTTATCTGCAAATAATGAAGTCACGATTACATTATTGTACGATCGTCGTCAATTACGACGGCCGAGGCCAATTCAACGAAAGTTACGAGCTAATTATTATCCAATTTTCAAAATTCGCACACAAGAGAGCTGGCCCGACACCATTGTGCGCGATCGCCACCGGCTCAACAACGGGCGCACAAACAGATGTACAATACGAGGCTCACGGCCGAGCAAACATCTTCTATAACTTATTAATAATAAGGCTACTTTAAGGCTCCCATGAAGGTGACTCTCTTTCTCGCATATATATCTCAACGAACCTGTGTGTGTCGTATATATATAATAGTCAAGTGTCTCTCGTCAAATACATACGTATCTGCTTTACTGGTTACAATACAATTTTGCACACTAGGAATAAGAGAAAAAGATAAAGGAAAGCGAAAGAAAAAAAAAGCGTCCGGTGTAACATCCGTTTGAGCGCAATGCCCGAAAGTCGTGGCCCCGAAAAAGGAATACAGGTTCCTCTCTTACTTACTTCGCGAATCTTTGAGCGCGCGCGCGCGCGGGTTGAAAGAAAACCCGTCCAGCGAGAGAGAGAAAAAGAAATGGACGACAATAGTTGAAAAGAAAAAAAAATCGGGCGAATACGCGTCAGGTTCCGGAGCGACGCGCGCGCGAGAGAGAGACTGTTTTACCTTTACACATATGCTTTGGCGCGTCGCCAGAAAAAGTCCGCTCGCGCGCGAGGCGACGCTGCTGTCCGACATACACACACACATCATTCTAATGCAAATCCTACATATATGTATATACAGGAGGAGATAGATGGGGTGGGTCAAAGGGCGACGAGACGCGCATTGAAATAACATTAATCTACTGTGGCAAGTCTCCTGTCCCTTTCGATTAAAAAGCGACGTCGACCTTAGAGCTCGCACTACTGCCGTTACGGCATTATACGTATAATGCCGTGTGGTATAAGTGCCATGCACCGGACTAGCCTACCTTTTCTTTCGCTTCTCTTGCTTCTTTTTTTTTTTATCCACGTGCATATCTTGCACAATAAATATTATAGAAACTTTCGCGGAGAAACGAAACGCTAATGGGAACGGACATCCGAGGAGTTTTGCGCGCCCTATAACATACATATAGGATAGGATAATTCGACTATGACTGACACCCGACTGTGCAAGGGTAGTTTTGTTTGCGGATCTGGTCTATGATGTGTGTGTGTTCAGCTCCTTCCGGACATTCGTTCTTGACGTTTGTCAATCTCGAATGTCTTTTTAATACGTATAATATAATTCGCGCGCGACTCTGTACTCTTTTTTTTTTTTTTTTTATTGTCCCTCGTTAGCCCAGTTCCGACGTTATGAATAATTAATCACATTACACGTCCTCGACCTATGAGCAAATATATGTATTTGCTCGTGGTGTGTTGTGTATGGGCCCATTGAGCCGCGTACATGTATATCTAATAATATGACTTCATTCGCGCAACTGGAGTAGGCCAAATCAAGTTTCCATTAAATTGTAATCTATATCTTGATTGCATTGACGCGCACAGGATGTAAACACGCTTTAAAGTGGACAATGATGCTCTCTCGGTGTCCGGAACTATGCGGCCGGACGGCCGTTACACGCAGGTACACAGTAGGCAAATTTGTTCATCGCGCGCAAATAGAGATATATCTCTCACGTTGTAAATAAGCCGTTGACACGATTTTCGGCCTTTCATTATGCAACTCAACATTCGTGTGTAAAACGAGTAATTCAAGGGCAAAAAAATATACGAGGCCAGTTACTAGCAGTAGTAGTTGTAATCGTTACTTAAAAAGCCATGTTTTGGCCCATTGTGTAATGCGCGTATACATCTACTCTCGACAACGACAATAATTTTTTTTTTCTTCGTTAAAAAATGAGTAAGTACAAAAATTGAAAAAAAAAAACGTATCGCGTTACGACGCAACCGTTTGGCCACCGAACTTTGTAGCGCAATTTTTTAATAAAGAGCCGCGACAGTGTCGAATTGCCGCGGAATTAAAAATCTACAATACGATACGCAATATAGCAAAGTTCGACCTTTTACACTACAACCCTTTAGGAGTCAAAAGGGCGCAAAAGAGTTGAAAAAAGTTTCGGGGCCACTTTTTCGAGCGAAAAGGGGTAAAAATAGTTTCACACGGTTCTCTCTCTCTCTGTCGCGCACGCGAAATAATCACTTTTTTCCAGAAAAAGAGAGAAAGAGAGAGAAAAAAAGTCTTTATCGTCGCGGTGCTCGCTGCCAATGACCGTTAAATATTATTTATCTCATAAACTGCGTAACAGCGAACGCGAAATTTCGGCGTTTCGTATTGTGTACGTGGTACACACAAGCGTCGAGAAGAAAAAAATAGTTTTAACCCCTTTTTTGCGTCACTTGTTCACGGGTTAAGTTGCGAGAGGGACGCGCAATAAATATATTACACGCACACACACATAGGGCGTTAGATAAGTGCATTTCATAGAATTGCGCGCGCGTAACTCGATATCTCGCGCGCAAAACGTTTCCCGCGTAATCGACGTTATACTCGCGTATAGAAAAAGAAAAAAAAATTTATTCATCGTCGTTATTAATAATACAGAAAACCTCGGAAGGCTCTTAATCTCCGTCGAGTTCGCGACACATTTGTACGCGAAAATTTTTACTAATTTTTTTTCTGCCTGGACCGAACAAAGAGGGTTAGGATATGGTCGGACAAAAGTGACTCGAAAAATAGAAATTTCTCATACATGCAGCGCGCGCGAGTTTGACTATAATAGCGAATTTCTTCTTCTTGGGAGGTCTCGCGCTTATTATATATATTATTCGCAGGCGCAACACAACGGGTAGTGTCCGGCGTGAATGAGAGTCGCGATTGTAGAAAAAAAAAAAAAAAAGAATTGAAATGAAATGCAAAGAATGAAAATTCATATAATGCGAGCGCATTAAGCGTCGGATATGTCACACACACACACACACGCGCGCGCATACATTCTTTGCATTTCATTTTTTGCTACATCATATCTCGCCGCATCATTCGCGCACCAAAGCGATGTGTGTGTGTGTGTACGCAAATTTCTTTCCCTTTTTTTTTTAATTCTCTTTCGTGTCTCTTTGATGTATAATACGCGCGCATACCTGCGCGAGGCACTAAACGCGTAGCTGTACATTTTTTTTTCTCGCGAACGATTTCGATCAACGAGCCGAGCGCGCGAGCTTTTATACGAATCGAAGCGAGTAATGTGTGTTTGTGTGTATGTGTGTATGTGATTGGCGTATTACGCCTCGTTTCTCGCGCCGCTGCTGCAGGCAGTCGCCGTTTTTAGTCATGCCTCTTTGCGGAGAGATAACGAGACGTGTTAAATCGCGTTAAACGTCCATCGACAAGGCAGCTGCGTTACGTGTACAGCCACTTTTTATTGCCATTAATTTTTTTATTTTATTTTATACATTCATTCGTATATTATTTATTTGTCGCATTGAAGTAAAACTTGTGTAGGTGCGTTAGGTATTAAAGAGGAATATAAAAACGATAATCGTAAGAAACATTCTGCTGCGATATTATTCCATATATGGATGGTATACCTACATGTCTGTCTCTCTCAGACGTATACACGCTTATACTTGCCTCGTTCGCTCGGCAGTGCGAGTTCGTACGAGTCCAGAGGTCCAACGTCAACAAACTCACGGCAGCTCGGCCGAATTTCTTTGTCAGATAGGTTCGCGCGCATTTCTGAACTCTGTGGATCGAAGTGCGCAGTAATAGTCAGTCCTCGGTATACGTTACGACGCCGCGGAGCGAACAACAACAAAATATCGTTTCTGTAAGTGATTCTCTATGTGTTTTATCCAGTGACACTCGTGAAAAGGAAAATTATAAACGATTGTGTGTTACGTGAGTGCGCAAAACGATGACCCAAGAAAATAAAAACTGTGTGAAACAATTGAAGACGATGCTTGATAAGGTCGATTGGGAGGTCGAAGACGAGCGACGTGAACTTCTCCGTCAACTTTATGCTTTGATCAGCGGTTGGTACGGTCAACTTCCAGATCTCCGGGACATGTTTCGGCCCGAAGCTATCGATTGGCTTCTCACGGAGTCTCTGAAAGACACCTTCGACAGCGACGACAGAGGAATCGCGCCACAAACTCTCATCGACTTCGTGATCAGGACCGGCTACAAAGACGAGCCCAAAGTCGATGGAGACGACAAGCCATCCTCGCGTCGCACCACACCGATACATCATGCGTACAGAATTAGTTGTAAAAATTACATAATTGCTAATCTTTTTAAAATATACGATAGATTCGATGTTAATTACACCGACGATTGTGGACACACGCATTTTGAAGTGGCCTGCGAGTATGGCCTTGAAGACGTCGTCAAGAAATTCCTCGATCACGGACAGGATCCCAACTGCATCGTGCCAAAAACAGGTGACTCGCCGCTATACTTGGCTCTGAGGTGGAACGAAAGCAAAGAAGTGGCAATATTGCTTTTGAGAAACGGCGCAGATCCGAATCTAGCTAATGCAGAGGGATCGACTCCCCTGCACATTATCAGCACTATGAACTTCGATGAAGATATAGTAAAGGTATTATTCGAGATTAGTGACGAAAATAATCTGTCCCTGCAGGTCAACGCTCTGGACAACGTGGGTGACACACCGTTGACCTTAGCTTTGACCATGGCTACTCGTTACGCAGTGTGACCAGCACCGAGATCGAGCGCGCCGCCACCTGGAGACAAAAAGTCGCCACTAATCGCCATTCAAAGAAGTTTAAATCGCACAAAAATCGCACACAATATGACGATGAAGAAAGTTATAACAATTTGCAGAAAATAACTTTTTTCATCGTCGTATTGTGTGTGATTTTTGTGCGATTTAAACTTATCAGAGGGAATGTTACTAGAGGAAAAGTGAACAATGATTTATAAGGAATTGAAAAAAAAAGATAAATTAGACCAAGAACTTTATTATTAAAATAAAATTTATAATTATTAATGAGAACAAACATTTTCCAAGGTTGATATCTCGTCGATAATATTGTCCTCGAAAGAAACGAGATCGTCGGTATCATTTTCTCTACCCATTGATACAGTATTGTTATACATGACTTTATAATTAAAATCTTTAATCATTTTATCGGACGGCTTAAACTTATTGCAGCACTCACCGTTTGAATAAAAATTTAATCTTATACGTAGCAAAGAATCTAGAGAAATTAACTCTAATCTATTTTTGGTTTTAGTTTTAATTAAATTCATGATCGAAAATGCCCTTTCCACAACAGCGTNTTAAAATCAGACATCCCTGGAACCGTTGCTTTAAGAACATCGCAAAGATGATCCATCGTTCTAAATGAAGCGTGGCAGGCGATAAAGGCCGCAATTGTTATGTCGCGAATCTTGTCGTTCTTGGAATTACTTGTTGCGACGCTATTCATCGACACAATCGTTTTTTGTTTACTCGGGTGGATGGAATCCATTAATGTCGAATGTGTTGGTGTATTTGCATGTTTTTTCAGATCGGTTGCATGTGCTCTGAAATCTTTCGTACATACTTTACACCATGCCTGATTTCCGTTCACTGGTATTGGTTCGGCTTTGACAAGCCATCCTGTAACAAAGAATCAGATGTCTACGTAAATAAACAAAGAAATAACGCATCAAAGCAGTTGATATCTTTTGACCAAATAAATAAAATTTTAGTATATTATTGATCAGTATTTCAAAAATAATATTCATATTGATACGTTATGTATACAAAAAATCATTCGTACCTTTTGCCCAGCTTTCTTTTTCCCACTTTTCTTGGTAATGATAAATTCTAGAACTTTTTTTAGAAGACATCATCTATGAATTACAATACACTACTTTGAAACTTATTACGGTTGAAAATAGTTCACTTTGAAAATAATCAGATTCAAAAACTTTGTCAGATTCTTTAATGACACACGTACGCTGAACGATGTTGCAAAGAAACAAATGAGCCTCTGTCGTCCTTAACTATAGCTGTCTTTCTTTATCATATGTAAGGCGCTAGAGGTTTGTTTGTGTCCCATGACGCGTACTATAGGCCGAACTCAACTCGCTTCCTATGCGCCAACGCGATTGCAGACTTCTCATCGATTTGCGCATGTGTGAGGCGTGAGCTGCGTGATTTGCGCGCGCTCTTCGAGTTGCGAGTTTGCGAACGGCTGACAATTGCTACGGCGACACAGTCGGTTTTGTGCGCGTAAAACATTTTTATTTTTATTTAGATATAATGAGTGTGCATGAGTCAAAAATCGCAAATTTGATCTTTAATGGCTGAAAAATCGCCAGTCGCCATAATAAAAAAAAAATCGCCATGGACGTAAAGAAATCGCCAATTTGGCGATAAATCGCCATACCTGGTCACACTGGTTACGGAAGCGCGGAGATGGTCAAATCACTGCTAAGAAGAGGCGATCCGAACTCAACCAATGAGGAAGGAGAGACACCTCTGCACAGTTTAATTCACGAAAAACCTTTTGACGATGACTTATTGAAGATGTTCTTTAAGATCAAGGGCGAATTAAATCAACCGGTACAAGTCGATGCAAAGAACAAGTTGGGTCAGACACCGCTGCAATTGGCTGTCGTTTATTGTAGCCCGAAATTGGTTGATGTTCTTTTGGATTATGGTGCTGATATGTCTAGCTTCGTTTTTCCTACCGAGAGTTACTTCACCAAGATGTATAGGTATTGGATGTTTGGATATAAATTACGTCAAGTGCCAAGCTTACTGATCATCGTCGAACGTCTCGTGAAAGAAGGATACCAAATGGATCGAAACGACGCCCTGACAATTATGCAATTTTTCACTAAAAACAGTATATTCGAAAAGTCGGAGAATCTCGAAAAATATTGGGTCAACGAAGAGTTCGCCGGCAAAGCTAAAGAAATGATGATAACTTCGAGTCTGTCGCTGTACGATGTAATTCAATTGCGACCCAAGGAGGCGGCGAAACTACTTACACTGGAGGACTACTTCGGGTTTGCGTACTCGGGAACTTCATTCTTCTTTGGTAAAGGACCGGCTATGGAGGCTTGTGCTCGGTGTCTGTGCGAGAAAGCATCGAGAGGATTTTTCCGGCGATGGTCGCTGGATCCCTTTATGGAGCTGACCCACTATCAATTGCCAATTCTCTGCTGTGAGATGATCATTGATAAGCTAATGAACGAAGATTTATATAATATTTGCTTGGCAGCTGCCGGCCAAAACTTGTGACGATGGTCTGGTAATTTTCAATATTGTTAGTTTTTCAATTTTTTTGAATTCAATAAAGTTAAAGAATTAAAAATTTGTTTTTTTTTTATCGATATTATAATCCATGATGTGCATGTAAATAAATATTAATAGCTGTACCGTGAAATAAGATGAGCTGAACGCGTAAGTATCAACAGGATCCATCATCGAGTATCACACACGCGCGTAAAACGACTCGACCATCATTTGCGCTGTAAGTGCGGCCGCGATCAGCTCGTCCGCGATAGTTTCTCATTCGCACCTTGCGCAACATTACATTACATATATATGCAGCAACTGCTCATAGGTGGCCTCGCGCTAATCCTTTTTCCCGCGGCAGCAGCAGCAGCAGCAGCAACTCGCGCGATCATCCGTCAAAAAATGTGCGCGTTCGGTTCTCGCGGCCCGGCATGTGGCGCGCACGCGGCACTTGTATATGTATACACAACGAGCTCCTTTATATTGGCATTTATACGCGCGTATACACAACCATGAACACAGTCAGACAGGACAGATACACTGCGCGCGCGCGAGCTTCATAAATCAAATTTCGCTGCATACACACATCCGCGATCGCCATGCAGCAGCAGCATCGGTCTTTCTCTCGTTATTTCTGCGCCGAGCACGAGAGAGTCCATACATTTACACGTGCTTATTTATCGCGTTGTTCGTTAACACGAACGTGTGAGTATATATGTGGGTATATGTGTGCAGGCAAGAACCAATTCAAGACCGCCATCGATGATTTTCAATTGACGTCTCTCGGTCGTCGAGTTTTCTATTCAACGTTTATAAACGACTTGCCAATGTCTCGTCAACGACGTCGTCTTCGTCGTCGTCGTCGTTGTTGTTGTTGTTGTTTTTTCCCTCTCTTTCTCAATACCAAATAGCGAATAGGTGAAAGGGTTGTTGTGCTCGCGATCGGAGGGGGGGGGGGGCCGCCGTTATAACTGCCTTTTTTCGTCTCCTCTCTCCCCCACTCACCGTCCATTGTTTTTATCGTCAGCTCGACGAGAGACATTTCGTGAAGGATTAATGAGAGAATGCCATTAATGCTTCGTCGCTGCTGCTGCTGCTTTTTTCCGTCGCGTATTATCGAACTATACAGCGCCATATTGTGCGGATATACACATAAACGCACTACAGTGCAAAGCGAGCGAAAGGGGGATGATTATTGCCTGTGACTGACTATATGCCGTTCGTATAGAATGAACGAAAAAAAAGTCGCTATAGGCCAAAAACTTTTTTCACCATACACCATCGAGCGTAAAGTATAAAAATGTCAATGAAATAAGCTCGAGTCGTGTGTGGCATATGTTTAGAGCAGAAATTTATAATACATATTTCAACGTTCCCGAATTGAAATGGATCGCGACGCGGATCTTTTTCACATCCGTTTCTTCCTCTATTTTTTTTTGTCTCTGTCTTTGCCGTTTGTACGCGTTTGTAATTCGAAAAAACCGCGCGAATGCATTTTCATACTCACGCATATATGAAAAGCGAGAGAGAGAGAGAGATTCGAGAAAGAGGATTCGCGGGCTAAAGACAAAAATATTCTAAAATGAAAGGGGGTTGCGTGAAGAATTCTTGGATGAAAGAAAAAAATGAGAAAAATTCAATACCGTGTATACGCCTGCGAGCTCGCGTGAATATTTCGCGGATAATGTACGTATTATAATTATGTATGACATTCGCGCGAGCTGCGTTGCGGCTGCACTTCACACACGCGGACGCGCGCGCGAGATACATTGTCGGGTTGCAAAAATAAAAAGATAAAATTCTATACACGCGTCACCCAGTCGTATTACATAATAAATAACGTAAAAGGAAACGGTGGATTCGAGAGAAGAAAAAAGGGGTGAAAAAAAGATTTTTTTCTCTCTCTCTTTCGCTGGCTGAATGCGCGCGGGTTCTTTCGCGCGCCTTTTTTTTTTATTATATTATCAGTCCTGCGTCTATTCTCAGGAAACGAGTCTACACTCGCGGATGGCGCGAACGACGACGCGTTTCGCGGGTTTTTTTTTCTGCGGCTGCGGCTCGTGTAACCAATAGCAACTTATGTACTTTTGTACACACGCCTATGCATATTATTATTGTATATAACATCATTTTCCTCGGCGCGAGAGATGAGATCCGAGTTCCGTCGTATATATATGTAAACCGCCGCGCGCGTGGCACAATTAGTCGACGTACATAATGCATCGCATACAAAAAATTCATAAATGTATACATTTTTTGAAAGAGAGAGAGATCTGACCTAGCCGCAACGCGCGAAGATAGAGAACGGGGGAGAAAAAAAGGCGGAGAGGCGCCGCTTCGCGTAATGCGTTGCATTTTTTTTATATATACACGTATTTGTATAAGATTTTCTTTTGTGAAATCTAATTAAGCCAAAGTTACAATGTCACGAGTGTATACGAATGTATATAAAGAAGGAGCGAACTCGCGCGCGTATTTTAATACACGCGCGCATTGTGTAATTCGTTCGCACGCCTCAAAGCGCATATTATATATAAGCGCAGCAGCGACATTCACAAAGGAAAAATGTGTCTGTGTGTGTGTCTGTTTTCTATGGCGAAGTGAGGTTTTTCTCTCTATATATTATATTATATAAATGATGATATATTTGTGTGCTCCTTTTTTTTGGTTTATCAGCGCTGAAAAACCGGGGGTGTGCCTCGGCGCGCATCTATGTATGTACAGTTAATTTTCTATAATTCACACGATTTCTGCCAAATGCAAACTACGTAATTTTTCGAACGATTCGATCGTACACTTATACGTTACCTTTAATAAATGGACTCTCGAACCTCCGCATACATACGTATGTATACGAGTCTCTTTAACGCATTCATCGCGAGGCTATTTTTTTTTTTTCATCCTTTCTCGTTCTCTCTCTCTCTTCTCGCTCGTTCGAAGATTGATAGGCTCGATGCATGTGCGAGTGTGTATGTAGCGCGCGAGCAGCACATATCGCAGTAATGGATAGCCCCCCTGTCCGAATGAACCGATCGGCTACTAATGGATTCTGCGATTGTTCGTACTCGCTTCTCTTCTCAATTTTTTTTCTCTCTTTATCTTTCTCTTCTTTTGTCGACCACTCTCTCTCTCTCTCTCTCTCGCGCGCGCGCGAGCTCGGCAGCAGCTTTTTAAGCTGCCAATCAATGGATAATAGGTTACTATACGCAGCGAGGGAGATTCGGATTCTCGCGCGTTTCGAGTGTGACTAGACGCGTTCTTGAGTGCCCCTCCGCTGACGATTTCATACTATACATAAGAACTTTTCTCGCGCGTACTATACGATGTTCTTTTGGACGCGGGGGCGATCATCGCGAATATCAATGTCCCGCAGTCGAACTGTTTCACCTGATCGGTTGATGCTGTTTTTTTGGACGTACGAGTTGCATATTTGGGCGTACGATTGTCGAGGAGGTGAAATTTCTACGTAATAAAAATTCTAAATCATTCGTTTTTTGATGAAGGTAAGATCAAAAAATTATACTGCAACAGAATTTAAAATCAAAAAAAAAAGTTTAATTTAAGAAAATTAATTAGTTATTACATTTTTAAAATTTTTTTATTTGATGTTATGAAACATATGCAATACTAATAAAGAACAATGACAATACA